CAACCTGAAAGTTGAAGTCCACTGTCCTCTCTGTTTGGTCTCCCGCTTTCGGGGAGTAAGTTTCTCAGCATTTGGTGTTTGGTGCGCCTGTATGGGTGCTCAGAAACTATGTACTGTGTGGTGCTTGACAGGTCAAATTCAAAAAAAACGCAGCCAGCGACAATATTTTTGTGTTCACCCGTGATTTATTGAAGAGACAAACGTTGTTTGCAGTCCAAGCAGCAATTCAGAGAGACGTAGTTTTCTCAAGTCAAGAAAACTGTAGCTGCTTTGTGGGAAAAGTGAGATACAATTTGAACCTCGCAATTGCCTGTTGGGATGTTCAATGGAGACAGGCAGTCACAGGAACTACCTGGAGAAACACTTACTGGACATAATTTTCAAAATCACTGGAGGCAGTCATGGACAGAAGTCTTTTCTGCACATGTCTTTGACAAACTTTGGTGAGGAACAGTCCCACGCAGCAACTTGAAACCTCACTGCCAAAGAAATATTGTGTGTAAGTTGGCCAGGAGTAGGGTCAAACAACTGGAGACTGCAATTGCTGTATACACGTTCAATTATATTTGTTTAAGAGAATGCCGCAAAGTCCACTACGCAATTTGAGAGGCCAAGATCGCAGCAGTTCTTTCGAAATGCTGTGATCTCACATAAGGGAAAACTTTTTGCTGACAAGTCAGCTACCCATTTTGCGCAAGTGACTTTGCTGCAGCTGCAAAAAGGCAGTCTACAAAATGTGCCTTACTGACGTACTTTTGGCCAAAAAATCGAAAATTGCCGTGTTCAGTTTCTTGAGCTGATGGCTGCTTGCTATGAAATGGCCAATGTCCACAAATAGAGCCCCAAACCGGCGCCGCATTCACAAATGGAGTTGCAACGTGACCAAGTACTGTCGTTCGTACCACTGTAAATAGAAAAAAACACTGGTCTCAAGGGCTAGGTGTTTTCTCAATGTGTCAACTTTAAATTATGTGCACGACGGCTGCGTTGCTTACGTTTGCCGTAAACCATTTGTGTGCGACAATTTGGTGCACTTGGTGCACGAAAATAACTTAAGTGAGCCCTGGACAGCAAATACATGGAAATGATATTGAAACATAATTTTGTTGTAAACAAAGCTGACCCATTACAATTGAAAAAGAAAAAAAAAACATGTTTTGGTGCGCAACCATCATGAATGATGAACCTACTCAGCCAAATGGTTAAGAGCGGTTAAGAGATTGCTATCAGCAAAATCCACCTCCAAAACCTGGGATATAACCGTACTGGGTGGAAACCCCGCCGCTTTTCATCTACCACTGATGGATCCGGGCGTCTCGTCTACACCTAGTGAAACTCTTATAGAGAGTCGAGAGTAAATACATTCAGGAGTCGCGTCCGTCTGGCGTACTGTCAAAGGTTGGCATCGAAACCTGGTTTTGGGATTGGAATACGAATGCTGGTCACTGAGCGCCGCCAAAAACCAGGAAGTCAAACTCCAAAAGAGCGACAAATGCGGCTTTTCAAACTCCACAGCAGACGCGTCAAACACCGCATGTGGTGAACTTTGCTTTACTGTTGAGGCCAGCAATGCTGCAGATTCGAAAGACCTTTAAGATAATGTCCATTTACTTAAAATATTTTAAAATACCATTCTACTCAAATTCTACCTCAGGTGAGCTTCAGGTGCCGCAGGAGTACTGTCATCCTCAGTTCGGTCCGTGCTCGCCCCAGGAGATCTCCAACCACTCGAAACAACGGCCCAGCGTCATGGTCTTTCGGCGCCGACGCCATACGCGCGAGATGGGGCGGGCCGAGGTGCACCGTTTGACCAAGGAAGCAGGTGGATCACCAAACTTGATGGAAAACGGGGCACCGGCACTTGATGGATTGGCCAGGCGGAAAGTGCAGGAAAATATATCACCGGTGTTGACCTCAGAGAAATGACTCCAGGCGTCAGGCTCGAATTTCCACCTTTGGGGCGTATAAAAACGTGTGCCCTTGTGAGAAACATGCAGGGGTTCCACTTCTTCACAAGTTACACCTGGCTTTTGGTGGCTGGTTGATTCTTTTTCTGTGGGTCCGACTGTTGTTGGTAATCCACTGGCAGAAACCAAAAAGACATAAAAAGAGCCAAAAGAGGTCATTTCAAGTCGGGTGTTCCTGGGGCAATGTGGCATGGGCTATGGAGTCTGATAGGAATTCAGTGCATATCCCCCAAACAAAAATGGTTCCTATATATTCCTATACATTATGTCAATGTGTTTATATATTGTATGTGTAAATGGGTATCCTTGGGTATCTATATTTATGCATATTGGAGGCTTCGATCCCAACCAAATCACTCGATTTCTCGCTTCATTGACGAAAGACGACGCAGTACCGTACCATCGTTCAGGACTGGTACGAGTCAAGTGGGCCACCTGCCGTGACGAAGAGCACCAGCGAGTGGTACTTGGATGGTAAGCCACGCCCCAGCACGCGTTCCCTGGAGACCGTGGTGCATTCCCTGGCGGAGCAAGACTGAGAAATAAGAGCCAATGACCCCGAAAAAAGCGGGCCGCCCAAAAAAAGCAACACAGCCTCGCGCACCGAGGCGCCGAAGATACACAAGTGTGGGATGTTGAAAGAACATCAACTTTCAGGGAACAAAATCCGGCTAGTTGGAGCTTCCAAAAGATTCTGGGCATGTGGTCCGGAAAGGCTTACCTTGCCCCCCATCTCTGCGTATACGTACAGGAGCAATGTGGAGCTTCAATCATTGGGGCAAGCCAAATTATGAGTGGTGGAAAATCAAAGACTAAGCACGCGCAAGATTTAAAGCACCGTGAATCCTGCAGCCCTTTCGCTGATCTCATTTTGCAAGATTAGTTGTAGTGCAGGTAGCGAGCCTCATGCTAGGAACAACCATTCTGGCAAACAGGAACTGCCTTCACAAAAATTGGCGAACATGTTTCTGCATGTTTTTGTCATGAGCTGTTGGAGCAACCCACACACTGCACACTCACTTGATCCGCCTCGCTGAATGCCACGGAAGGTCACCATTCCCTAGATCAAGCGCTTTAGATTCACAAGCCCCTTCAAAGTGGTGGCTCGTGGCCAATGTGGTGCGTGCGCACCACCATGTTGGCGCTGACATACTGCAACCATCATGGTGTCCCTTGAATCATCCTTCCTAACCGAAGGCATCACCCATTTTTCCTGTCACATTCAATGGACCTCAGGATGGCTCGGAGCCGTGCTCCATGGATTATCATTGTTGGTATGCTTAAGGCAGCCAACTTCCGGAAGCTCAGCTTCATTAGCGGCCGCCCTGCAGCAGCTCATTGTGGTTGTTCTTTCCGGCCGCCCTGCAGCAGCGCGGACGCGAACCGCGAAAAAAACCACGCGCGGGTCACCGCGAAGCCAACGATCTGGGTGCGATCGAGATGTGAAGACCGACTGTTGGACATCAATGGAGATCACTATAGAGGCTTCAGACAAACGTACTACTGTAAGTCTCTTCAAAACCGCTGCCATATCCTAAACCACGGTGGATCAAAGTGGGAAGTTCGGTTATCCGATCCACTTGGTGAATGACTTCTGAACAAATTCCAAAAAAAGCCAGCCTTGGCGATGCCGCATCGTGGTAAAGAAATCTCCGGTCGTGGTGATCTCACCGGATCGCTGTTGGAGATGACGGCAACCCGGGTTTCCATGCAGAAATCTGCATGATGTAATTGCCATTTGCCTCAGCTGCGAGCGAGAGTCCCAAGTAGCTCGCCGATCTCGGCAAGCACTCTTTCGGCTGGTTTTCGAAGGCTCAACTCGGCTTAGGGCTTAGGGTGCGGGTCATCATGTTAGCTGAAGCTGTTGACCCAAGGCAGCAGAGGTTGAAGAACCCTATAGACTATCCTATAGGTACTATAGGTACCCCTGTAGGGTCCTGGAGTCCTATAATAGGTCACTGTCCACCTCTGTAGGAAGGCTGGCATGAAAACCCAACCGGTCGACCTGTGTCACCTCACGTGGTACCATCCAGCCTACGCTAGACTCCGGGGGCTGGCAGGTGGACGAACAGAGTCTTGCAGACGAAGTCCGGACACCAGCAATTATGGGATCGTCAAGGCAATTGAGGAGGCTTCTTGGGCTACTTTTCTGGATAGATTTGATCGTTCTTTTACCCAAAAAGCATGGCCTATAGGGCCGTGAATCCCCACCCGGAACAGATGACAGATGGCCCCGAGTTTCTGGACAGATGGCCAGCAATCAAGAATGATCCAGAACTTCCAAGCTTTGCGTAAGCTCTCCGCTTGCAGCTTTGAGCTCAGCGGCTCCTGCATCGTGTGGCAATTCGTGCACTGAGCACCCGGGCCCGGCGTCGAATGCCCAAGAGACGTCGTTTTTGGGAGTCTTTAGGTGACTGTGTGGGAGGTCTGGCCAGTCAGTGACCAATCTTTACGACATATCTTATAACCAGTTTTGGACTTTAGTTTCCTTGCAGTTGGGCATTTGCATATTCGCATTCTGAAGAATGCGAGGAATGTTGTTGAAGGGGAAAGTACCTGTAATTGCTTGGACTCACAGATTCAGAGCCGTGCTAAGCCTTGCAAATCTCTCAATGGCATCAAGCAGCAGTGGCCTCTAATTACTAAACGACATTGTTGCTGGCCAGTCGCATGATTGATTTGTGTTGCTTGGTGTCGCATTGGTTTAGCTTGATTCGACACATCGGGGTTCGACACAGGAGGCCTGGAGGCAAGCCGAATGAACGTGCGTAAAAGTGTTCATGATGGACACGACAAAAAAGAGAGGGAGGGAGGGAGGGAGGGAGGGAGGGAGAGAGGGAGAGAGGTTGAGAGAGAGAGAGAGCACACAAGGACACAAGGACCAACGGGCAGGGATGTGAAGGAAGCAGGGTCTAGCGCGGTTGTTGGTGGTGGATACCCAATTCTGCCCAAGACCACGCTTCCTCCTGGTTCCAGCTCATTGGCTTAGCAGCTTAGCCAGTGAGAGATGCACGTGCTGTTTCGTTGCGTGAGGAGCCCAGCACCACCAGCCTGTCCGAGGCCTTGAGACAACCTTACTTAGCTGAGCCGGAAGGATCAAGGATCAAGGGATCAGAAGGATGGGGGTGGGCGGGTTGTGGCACGAAGCTTCTGACTGGAAAGACGCTGGAATGACTTGGCATGACACTGAACCGTAAACCATCCTGACCTGAACCAAACAAAACAGTCTTAGTGCATGGAACTCTCCGGTTCGTTCATGCTTCGTTGACCCTCATCATCGTTCGTTATGGTTCGGGGCCGCACTGACCCAGCTGGTTGAACTGTTTAAGCTTTTCCCAGCTGGGCGTGACCCGGTCCGCAGGCCTCGCTGGACCCCTTCGCAGTGGTGCGCGGTCGGAGACTCGGTGCGAGACAGACAGGGTCGGATCGCTTCTTCTGCCGGTTCAGACGTACTGGCAAGACACGTCGACAGATCAGCACAGGAGAGGTCTTCAGGTCAGAACAGGTCAGAACTACCGTAGTTGAAATGAAATTCCTTAATGAATCGACTTATGGTGTGTGGTGTGTTTGTGACCTGGAGCACATCTTTTTGATGTTGCTTCATGGAATTCTTAAGTGCCGGTAAAGCATGGGATCATCAAAAGCTCCAATGAATTACTGTATATAACTTATTATACTTATATAAGAATTATATATAGCAAACACATAGCAGCCCATTTAAACAACCTCCTTAAAATTCGGCCCTTTGGCTCGGTGTCGTTCGTCCGTTTTATCGCGTCAGTTCGGCTTGTGTTCCTCCCGCGCGTCTGGGAGGGTTCCCACCCAAGGATTTACATAGAGTCTAGAGGAGGCTGCTTGCAGGTCCTCCTCAGACCTGCATCAAACAGACATGTTGGCAGCCCATTTTGCGTGGTCTTCGTTTTGGAGAAACCAACTGCAAACCATCCTGGCAGAAGCTGTTCACCGCTTTTCTACGGAACGAGCACGGCAGGTTCTGCGCGCCCCAAACCATCGGGTTCAGCGACGTCCGTCCATGATCGTATGTTGAATTCCTGCCCCTGTCAAAACCGGCGAGACATGTCGGCTTGAGTCGGCTCTTGTCTTCCGTTGGTGACCTTGCGTGCAGCCTTGTCTACAGAGTTGACCCTTGGTGAAGCCTTCAGCTTGGTTCGCATGGTTCTTTCTGGACTCATCCACCTCATCTGCCACAAACAAGGCATCCCGATCTCAGGTCCTTAGGATGGCTCATGTGAAGAACACGTCTAGCGAGTAGTGATGCGTTCTTTCACTGCTTAAAACTGGACTCGCCTCGGCCAGCCCTGCGGCTTGTGGCTTGCGTGTACTCTTGACGCGCTGCCTTGCTCAAGGGCGGGGGGCCCGCAGGTCCGCCAAAGTGAGCGGGACCTGTCCAAAGGACTGGGGAGAGCTTCTCTTATGCAAGAGATTGCAGAAAGGATCGCCCATGAACCATCAGAAACACATACAACAATCTGGTGCACTGAGCTCTGAACAACATTACGTCGTCTTCCAGTTCTTCCCAAACCCCCGATCCAAACCCAGAACCTACGGTCGAGATCGGTCCCAGTCACGGTCTTTCCCGGCCATGACGGTGGTGCGGCTCCATGACTTGCCAGAGCCCGTGCTGGAGCTGCTGATGATGCTCGGAGATCCACAGGGCTCGGACGGACCGAGCTAGCAGTAGCTCATAGCTATAGTTGAAAGATGTTGAAACATGGGTAGGATCGAAAGTACTCGGGTCTATATGCTTATAGTTGTTTAGAGAGAAGGGCTCTTGTATACACATGACGTGTATATACGGTCACACGGTCTATAGACATGGAAAAACTGTCTCGTGTGACAGTGGGACACCCGTCGCCCGGTCCCAACCGGATGGTCCTAACTGCCGGTGCTTCACACCCGCGAAGTCCCGCGAATGTTCGCCGGACCAGATCGAGGAAGACGGGGACAAGACGGGACCAGATGCCCGGCACTCTTTTTCGGGACTCCAGGGGGACCAATCACTCTGTTTGAAAGTTGGGGGGGGGGCAGTGGAGGTTTCCACCTCACTCAAAGCAAAGACGCGGAAAAAGGTCAGGTCAACCAGTACATGTTCTACCAGCACCTTCATGTCGGGATCACCTGGCTGGAAGCCCCTACACTATTAAGGGACCTCCAGCCAGGACACCCCTTTTTCAGGTCCAGGTAGGAACATGGCTCGGGAGGCCGTTTTGCCTAGGGATTTTCGGGAGATTGGGCTCTTCGGGCCAGAGATTGGAGGGCTCACCTTTTGTTCTTTGGTTTTGGTGAGACGTCGGAGCGGTCAAGAAAAAGGGATGTGGGTCTTTTTCGGGAAGGGTGAGTACGGGTGGATGAGCTGGTGATGAAATGATGGTTGCGAACCCAATCAGCTCATCCACCCTTCCCAATCACCTGGATGAGCTGGTGGAGGTTCCAAAAGTCCCAAATCAGACCCCACATCACTCGGCTGCGGGTGTTGGGATCCGTCCGGCTCAGGATGTGCCTCGTGGACGCGGCGTATGATTGCACCTCGGTGGACGAAGACGACATGTGTTGGCCACCAGTGGTGCAGCGGATCATGGGACGCAGCGGTTTATTGCGTGCAAGCACACGAAGAAGCTCTTCTGCTGGAATTCCACAAGCTCTACGATGAACATCGACGAACGTGTTGTTTCCCTTCCAACCACTTAGTGCAACCACTTGATGTTCTCGATGGTCGCTTTTCCCAGAGGCCGGACAGTTCGTCAGAGTGTATCCAGGTGAGCATGCTGCCAAGCTCTTCCGTGCCCACTTTGATGGCAATACTGCAGCAGAGGACCGCTTTTCACCCAGAGCCGGGAACCGGAAGCATCGTTGTTCTTGGCACGGCAAATTCTGGACCAGACAGATCTGTAAAGAAAGAACACTCAGGTCACCGGGTAGATCTTCCGGGTGTTGTCAGTTTGAGTTCGACATGTTTTAACCACATGGTAAAGGATGAATTCGGAACACGCCATCAAGCGATAGCGAGCTGTGCTGATTTGTTTTACTTTTTGTTGAGCTCGGCTTAGTTGAATGGATGTGTTGGGTGTTAGAATAGTGTAGAAGGGGCCCCTTGTTTTGGGTCCAACTGTACCTTTACTTTGTAGGAACCACACTTGGTCTCGGTGGCTTGGAATGAGTCATGGGCAACATGCCGGGGTTCGGGCCACGGTATAAGGTACCTCACATCAACCAACCCCGCAACGCGGGGCGGATGGTGTGAACTGTAGCGTGAAGTGTATATAAAATAAACATACTTCAAATGCCTGCCTGCAGACATCGGACGACCAATTAAATTTGGTACCACAATCAGGTGATATATGCATTGGTAACACCATTGCCCTATCAGAGGTTAGTTGGTAACACAATTTGGTAACACAATGCAACACAATCATTCAGATAGCATTACCCTATAAGAATTTGTGGTTGTGTCCAAAAGGCATCTCCAGCGCAGAGGAGTTCACTGGAGATGCCGTGCGAGGCATCCTCCGTGAGATGGTGCCTTGACGGATCCACCGAGCGCCAAAACCAGCCGCGCATCGTTTTTCTAGGGTGATTTGGTCTCTTCCAGGACACACCGTCGAGGTGTCTATGTAAATAGCCTCGCAAAAGCTGTGATTCGGGCCGGGGTGTCCATTAACCACCTCGACTGGTGGTCCTTGTTGATGTCTTTTTGTATTGAATTTTGCCGATATGATGACAATCCGTTCCGCGGAAGATGATGAACAATGATTGATCAAGATGGGCAAAGCATTTGATGATTGGTTAATGTCATGTGATAAGTAACCATAGACTGTGTCTTATTTCCAGTAATTGTCGGTAAAAGATTCTCACATCCTTAGCTTTGAGAACGATCTTTACTTGGCATCATCGGTAATGGGATATACTCAAGTTATCACTGATCACCGGCGTCATTCACCTTAGCATTGAAGGAAGATCCACCCAGCTGGCCAAGGCCCATGATGGAATGTTGCAGTTCCTTCATGCCGCCTCGTGTCAGCAGTTTGAGGGCAAAGTGGCAAAACAATGAGAGAGATAGAAAGGAGATGTCCCAAGAAAAAGGCCACACTCCGCGGATACCGGCCCGACAGAGGAATCTTGCCAAACTCCACCTCGAAGGCTCTGTCACCGTTGCTTCGCTTGGTCATGCTGCAGGTGAAATCAGACCCAGACGCTCCGTGTATGCCATATATGCCTACATTAGGGTAGGGTCAATGGGGCGGCTTATATTCCAGTCCCATGGAGTGTATGGCATGGGAGACCAACAAAGGTTGAAAGACCCTATAGGCTATCCCAGTTCGGTACCCCTGTAGTGTCCTAAGGTCACTTAACCTCTGTTGGGATCTTGTTGCTTCCGGGGGTGCACGGTCTAGCCCAGCCGTCGAGACTGATGAGTCCGAAACGAGACGGAGGCTGGCCCTGGCTGGGTGAGGGTCTGTCCTTCTTCCAGGTGGTGGATCTCCATAGGTCTCCCTATGTTAATACACGGCTTTTGCATTGGCCCATCAAAGTACTTCAGAAAATTAGTACACGTTTTATAGGGGTCATGTCCAATTTTTTGAGGTACTTTGGAGGGTCCAGGTAGAGATTTGTTGATGAATCTGCTGATCATGATCCTTTGCCCACACACCACCCTAAAAGCTGGGTAGCTAGTGTAGCTACCAGGCATGGGGGGTACCAGCTCTAAAGGGCCTAAACACAGAATCACCCCCCCAGGACTGGAGAGTGAGAGTGAAGGGAGGGTGCTTCATGGTCTAAGTCTGTCACAGGACGATTCGCTGTCTTCTGTCGGCGCTCTGAGCGCCTATAGAGTCAAGGGCCTTGAAGGGCTGTCCACAGGACGGCGGCAGTAAACATGTTCTTTCGACCCACCCCAGCCATGGTGTGTTGGTTTTGAGGGCCCAGAGTCTTTGGGCCCTTGGGGTGAACTTGGCCAAGGCCTGCACACCAGAGGCGCAACGCACACCAGAGGCCAAATTTGAGTGCTTTGCACCTCCTCCTCGACGGTTACCCGCAGGTCGGGTTGGCGTTTTCGGCAGCCGGCGATGAGTTCGTGCAGCCGGCGCAGCTGAATTTAGGTCATTTGAATTAAAAGATGTTGACATCATGTTTGTTCTGATCCTGTTAGCTTCTATCCAACAAACGGGTGGGAGAAGGGCCAAATTCTGCAGGAAGGAGGTGGAGGGAGGGAAGGGAGGGAGGGAGGGAAGGAGGGAGGGAGGGAGGGAGGGGAAGAGAGAGAGAGAGAGAGGGGAGAGAGGGGAGAGAGGAGAGAGAGAAGAGAGAGGGAAGAGAGAAAGAAAGAGAGGGAAACATTTCAAGACATTTCCGTGTTTCTTTCAGGGAGGGCTTTGAGGACAGTTTGTTCAGGATACCCTACCCGTAGGTGTTGAACTACACTGTGGCCTGTGCTGTGCCCACCCCAATGTGCACAAAATATGCCATATATACGGGTTGGTTACTGACCAACCCTTTGATTTCATGATCTTTCACATGGTTTTAGTCTTAGTAGGATTTGGTCATAGATGCTCGTAGCAGGACTCAGTAGGACTGTATTGCCGCTGAGTTAGGAAAGCCCTTGGCACATACACTTACAGATTTCTGAGGGTGAACACGCTTTTCGCTCCATCTCTTTTTGGGCTTCGCTCGTTGACACCACCCCAATCAGATCTCCTTCCAGGCCGCCGGAAGCTGCCTCGATCCGTGGGTCCGGTGTGGCGCGCCAGGCGCTCCAGGCATAGACAATTCCACACTGGACGAGCCACCTGCTGAAGCACCGAATACCTGGTCCTTGGACGATGTCATGCTGGCTACCTGGCGGTGCACGGTGAGGTCGGTGGAATCGGTTTTGTTGCGAGCGTCGGAGGGCGCACGTGAATCCAGATCGATCATCATCGATCGATAGATAGCCATCACCACGATGCTCAACCACCACTGTATGTGTTAAAGATATTATATGATATTATATATATACATATATCTGATTATAAGGCATAAAGTGGATATAGATTACAAGGCATAAAGTGGGGGTGAGGTTGTTGCTCAGATTTTTGTTGTTTGCCAACTGTCATGTGTGACTCGTGACGGTTTTCAGACCACCCGTTCAGTTGCAGAAAGCAAGGGATTCCGCGAATGCATCGTTTCTGTCAAGATATGGTTGACGAGACATGTTTGATCTCACTCTCTCTCTCTATATGTATATATATATTACATACCATCAATGAGTCTAGGTTCATCACCAGACTTCTGTACATGGTGTTCATCAACAGGTCCCATATCATGTGTCCATATGTGTCCCTTGTTGTCATGTTTCCCAACTTTGCAATGTGAAGTGAGATGAAGTCAGTGGGTTTTGCTCGTTTTGTTTCGGAAGATCAATTCACTCCTTCCTAGGGCAAACCCTGGGCTCCACATCTCTTGGCTAGGAAAAAACTCTTAGACGCGGGCAGATGGAGGAAGATGCATGCAAGATCATGCAAGGATGAACATTTTTCAGGCAACCCTGTCCTCGGAGTCGAGAACCTATGATGTTATTCGAACAAATTATGGATGCACTGGTGGCCTGTGCAGTTAAGGGCAAGATCTTTGAGAACCTTGGGCGCGCCTTGGAAGGCTCAGACGGACCTCAGTTGCAAAGGGGTAAATGTAATGTAATGTGTGATTCAACAAGCCATTGTCCATGCCTTTGGATGCCTTTTGGATTTTTGGGCATTACAGCAAAGAACAAAAACGGAATAGTAATGAATCATATACATCTCACCGTCACAGGAACTATCCCTTTGTATCAACTACGTACCAGTTCTAATTCGTTCTTTGTGCAACTGCCTTTCTTAAGCGGCTCTACACCCCAAAACGGTTGATACTGATCTTTGCCGTGGTCCTGGCAGGTGCCGGGCTGGAATCCATGGATTCCGTCCGTTCGAATCCATTTCTTCGGTCAGATTCCTCTTGACCAGTGAAAATGGGTGCACCCATACTGACGCCGGCGTAAGTACGCCGGTGCCCCGAACTCGGGGTGGGGAGTTGAATCGGATTTCTGTGAACGTGACTTCAGACATTATTTCCCATACACTCCATGTAGGCATATATGGCATACATGGAGCGTTTGGGTTTACATTGGACCCACACCAGAGTGGGCGTGGTGAATGGACACCCCTTAAGATCTGCGAGATGTCTCTTTTTTAGGGGCTGGGGCTACAGTATAATGGGCACCCCCTGATCGGCGGCTTTGGTATACAATTGCAGACACATCCAGTGGCCTCGGCTAGTCCGTCCTCCAACCTCGGCGGACCTCGTCCTCACCGAGGCAAGGGCTCGATTCCGGCGATGCGCGCGTCGCGGCGGTTTCGCTCCGTCGGCCTAGCGGTGAAGAACTTCTGGCAGCAGGCCGTCTTCGTGGAGGCGACCAGCGTTCGGCGACCAGCTCGCGGCGTGAGGGCGGAACGAGTGCGTTTAGGGGTGGTAAAGCGGGGGGAGCGGGCGGGCTCGGATGTGCGGCATAGGGCGCCCTACAAGGGCGGTGTTGTAGAAGGGTTTGCGGGGGAAGGAAGGTATTCTACACGTTTTTTTTGACCGTTTTTGACTCTAAAGTTGGCAGATTGGCTTCAGACCATGCCCCGCCTTCAGTCCACATGAACGGCTTCTTCACTCACTCACTGCTCGACCGGGCGCTTTTAGGCACCGAGCGCCGAGCGCCCGCTTCGCCAGGAAGGCACCGAGCTCTCCAGTGCGGCGGAGCGGCTCCAAAAGCGGCTGGGGAACTTCGTGGAGCAACATGCGCAGCAGGTGGAGGAGATGGCGCTGCGCCACTGGGAACGGCAAAGATAACGCGAAGAATCGCGTAGAAGAAGATGAAGAATCCGGAGCCTGTTTGGGGAGTTAAAAGGGTGGAGAGAAATCCAAATCCTTTCGAAGCATCAACACGCCGGTTGCTTGTAGTTGTTGTATGTTGTTGCTTTTGATTGTTTTATATGGTTTTTTTCATGTTTTTTTCGATCTTTTTCGCATTAAGCACATGTTCCACCTAAGGGTGTCCGGCTTGACCTGCTTGTTGCGAGTTCTTGCCCCCTTAGGAGCCCTCAAGGGCGCTTGAGGCGCTCCGTTTGGGTATGGTAACGGGGGCGCTTTGGTTTCGGCGCAACCTGGGCGTTCATTTGGCAACCTTGGGTTCTGACAGGAAGAAAGCCCCAAAGACGACCAATGCCGATCAAGCAGCGAATCGAGCAGCTAATTTGTAGATGTCTCTGAGTCGTTATCAGCTATTTTTGTTCCACAATCCCGCCCACACCTGCCTACCACCTGGCAAGAAGCTTGTTGTAGCACCAAACCCCACCTTCACAGGGTCCCAGGTGATGCTGGGAGGAACCGAGCGGGGTGAACACCGGCCAAGGCAACACGGCTGTGGCTCCCTTTTGGAAGCAAGCAGCGGAAAGCCTGTTGAAGGTTGAGAACTTGCAGAGGTGGAGCATGGTGGAGCATTCCACAGATCTCAGCAGTGAGAGCGGTGCAAAATGTTTTTGTTTGTGTTGAGTTGTCCAGTGAAGGATCAGCATGGCTGGGCTGATTTGATTTGGTAGAAGATCGGAAGATCCAGGGTGTTGAACATAACTAAACCCACCGCGGCATGGATATGGGGGGGCTATAATGACTGTTTTTGATGCTTCAATCATCGCTTGTATAACCTTGTAGAATACTTTGAGGTACTTTGAGTTTCTGTTTTTGAGGCATGCCTCTGAGAGGGTCCTGACACCGAGCCTTGAAAACCCTTCGATCGCCAGGTGCTTTACGACGTCGTGCTTTACGGCTTTGCAGCGTTTGATCCTGCATTCCTTCAAGTCGCAGGACCGAAAAACATGGTGAGATCCACTTGTTCAAGGCAGAACGTCTCTCCACCAGATTCAGCAGAACGTCTCCGAGACGTGTTGAAAGGGGCCGGACCCTGACAAAGATGACAAAACCCCAATGCAGAAGTAGGCGAGTTTTGTTGGAAACCCGATGGGACGGGCATGGACTGCCAGACTGCCAGTCTCATTGGGGTTGGTCCCAGGGGTCTACGTCCACTCCCATGAGTCCTTCCCATGGGTTTTGGATCCTGGGTCATGTCAAGGACCTCCGTTTGGGTCGCGTTTTTTCGCGGCTTGTGACCACAAACCGGCGTTTTCAACGAGGGCAAACTACGTTCGCACGTGGAGAAGTTCAGGAATTGAGAGCAAAACGTGGTGATGCTATGCGATGCATCTTTGGACACAAAAGGATTGAAGCAAGGTCCAATCAACTGACCTCCTTCGCATCTTTGTTGAGAAACATGTCTTTCTTGGCGTGTTCACAACCTGCCAACTCCTCGTCGGTGATGCCAACGCAACCCTGACCACTGCGTTGTTTCGCCGGTGCGATAGAGGAGCTTCATGCCATTACCAGCAATGGCAGGCCCGGCCGTGGAAAGACCAGGATGGACACCGGGATGGTTGCGAAAGTGCTGGGTACCGGGTGCTTGAAGGCAGATCGAGGGACGTAAAGATGATGCCTCAGCGGCTGAATCCTGGTTGATCTTGCATGGAAACAATCTGACCTGGACTATCAGACGGCACATCAAACCCGTTCAGACTATCAGTGACTATCAGACTATCAGAATCTATCAGACTATAAGCCCTGAGTTTCGAGAATTCTTAAAAACATCTTTGAAGATGGCGGCTATCAGACCCTTAGGACAGTCAACTGGACAGTCCAACGGAGCGGTTTGGTCAGTGACCAACGACACTCGACGCGTCCGTCGGTCCCATGATTCGTTGATGTTGCGTCGGTGGCCAAGCGTTCAGAACAGCTGCAGACCTGCTTGGGATGCGGACGTTGGACCGAAAGCCCCAACGAAAGCCACGGGCTTGGTCGGACACGTCGGACACATGTGAACACCAAATCCAACAATTTGTCCCCAACAGACGGTGCAGCCCCGGTGCAGGCTTTTCCCGAAGCTTGAGCGCCTGGAGTTGTTCCAATGTTGGTTGGGTGCAGGCAACTTCCTCGATACTGGGGCGAGGAGGTTTTGTGGGGTTGTTGTGTGGGTGCGGAATAGGGGTGTCTAAGAAGAATTGAAGTACTGGTGTGTCCTATTACCAGTTACAGTCGGTAAGAGACTAAACTATCACTATTTTGGAGCAAGGTTCACTAATCATCATCATCCACTAATGATGGCTGATACTGGTACTGTACTGGTTTATCATATCATATCATACACAAAGCTGAAACATGTTGAAACAGATATATAGCTTGTCCCAGTCTAGCTGCCTCCAAGCTCTAGGTGTTTGGATGGGTTTGTTGCGCGTGTGCCATTCAAACAGACAGTTCCTAGTTGAACCTCAGGGCTGCTCCAAGAACCAACCCGCTCTCCCTGCACAGACTGTTCCAAAGGGTTTCAACATATATGTTCAACTAAGATGAATGTATTCTCAAGCTTTCAATCCCACGCACCAAAACAAACATGGAATACAGCAGTGAATGTGCGATGCTGCCACTGAATGCCCCGATCACGGGTTTCAACCCGTAGCAGGGTTCACAGAGCACCAACCGTCGCCACCGCTATACGCGGCAAAGCATCGTTCCTTTGCGTTGGGAGTGTCCGTTGGAACCGCAGGACCCGTGGGACACCGCAGAGTCGACAGACCCGTGCGTTGGTGCGCCAGGAGACCCCGAGTGCCAATGGGTGGTAAGGGGTGGTTGACCACCCAGCGTCCAAAGAACACCCTTTGGGGTCTCCTGGGGGAGGTTTCTTCATATTCTTCCTTAGACTTTGTTTGGGCGGGTTGAAGGGGTCTGGTGTGTGGTAGCTAGCTGAGGACTTAGCCGAGCTTCCAGCACTGTCCTCGCTGGGCATTTGGGGATTGCTCCTTGGCTTGAAGGCTTTTGGGGCAAAAAGTTGTTGCATGAGTTGGAAGACGACCTCTAAGTCTGTGAAGGCTTTCTTCTACATACATACTAACAGAACAAAGGACAATTCCAGTCCACAAGCTTTGCAAAAAGAGTTGCCACCCGGTTTTTGTTATGCAAGAACCTGGGTTTCGCGGCTTAGAACATCTTCAGTACACAAGCTCTTCAGACCATACCATCTCGCTTCAGACCATACATTCTCGCTTCAGACCGCTCAGGAAGAACACCCAGATTTCTCTACCTGATCGTTGGCCATCCTTCCGTCTCGATGAACTTTGCTTGGACCCCGTGGAGGCCACTGCCTGGCCACGCTTGGGAGGAGCGACCCGACCCTTCTTGTGCTCAAGCCACTTGAGCCTTCTTCTGGACGAAAAAACCAGGCCCTGAGATGGTCCTTTTGGTTTAGGGGGGGGGTTCTTCTTAAACCAAAAGTTCGGTGAAGTCCGAAAAGCTACACTTCATTACACTTCCTTATGGCTCCACGCCTTGGAGAGCGCTCGGCAGGACCTCGCTCCCTTCAGCGCTTGCATCTCTGCACCTCGCGGCCGCGCCTCGCGCTGGCATCGGTGCCCACGTCCTTGCAGGCGGAGAGCGGTCGACCGACCGTTTCGTACGCCCCTTCGTTACGTCGTTTTCTCCGAACGCCGGGCGTGGACGGGGGGACCGATTGGTTTAGGGGGGTCGGAACTGGGGACGGCGGACTCCGTCGCTGAATTCGGCCGGAACGGGGTTGGAGTTCGGACGGCGATGTGGTGGATGGCCCCTCATAAGCATCTACTCAACTTGCGCGTTTGGGGTTACAGTGGATTGAGAGTAGATGGCACAATAACCAAAAGGTGATTTATATGGATCCCCATCTAAAAGACATCTTGGGGTTTGTCCCATCTACTCTGAAACCACTGTACGTGCTTCTATAGTCTATTTGTGGATGAGCCCAGGTCCCGATCCAAGACCAGCATTGGAGTAGTCCTTGGAGTAGCAATATATGTAGCTTGATATAATAGGGGAGTTGAGTTGCCATGATGACATCTCATGTTGCAGAACCTTCCGCCCTGCAGATGCCCTCACATGACGGTAGAAACTCATTATCGCAACACGCTGCCCCTGAGGGTTATTACTCAATTGAACAACAATCACCATCCTAGCACAAGTACAACACCCCAGCTCTATCTCAAAGGTCAAAACAACCCTGGTAATCTCCAAACCTAGGGACTTGAGACCCTCCAATCTGGGGATTGCCCTCCCCAGAGATCATGACCAGTTCGGGGGTTTGCTCCGCTCGTTCTCGCTTGGAGCACGTCAGATGCTCCGCTCTCTCCGTCTCGGACGACTTCAGGTCCTGTCCTTGACGACTTCAGCCCAGGCGAACACGTCCCGACGCACCGAGCGGAAAACGGGCGAGTTCTGGGCGCTCCGAAGTCGCATCCGACTGGTGTTGAGGAGGGTGCGACGACCCCAGAGCAGGGGATCCCATTTTGGAAGCAGATAGAAAGGAGCTACGGGTGGAACACTCCCACCACTGGAAGTAGTTTGGACACAACCCTGCTCAGCCCAGCAGAACCTCTAACCTGATCTCCTTGGTACGACTGGAGAATTGCATTCACTTGGTTTCCAGGTCGGGCGTACTGAACGCCAGCTCTCAGTTGTTTGAAGCTCTGAGAAAACAGAATTAGATTGTATATAATGAATTACAGTAATTAGGTGTTCTATACATATGGCATCCTCTTCATTGAAGAGCTCGCATCTTCTTGCTAATGCTTTCGCGTGTTCAGCGTAGATGACACACGTCCATGGATATTGGATATGGACTTGAACATTTAATTTGTGTGAAGCCTTTGTGGTGGTGTTGGCTCTCAAGAGAACAGAGCTGGGACAGCAAAAGACAGGCACGCAAGGAGAAGGTTGTGAAAATAGATTGACCCATCAGCGCAAGGCAACATGTTGAAATCATGGAGGTTGGGAGGCACTGGAATCTATTGATTCAGGACTTCTTCAACCCCCTTCACCGATCCATTGCCTTAATTCTGCATCAACTTCATCATCAAACAGTCATGCCTTGGTATTGATTTGCCCGATAAAGACGCTGGGGCTGTCACTGACTCATTGAACGATGACTTTTTTCCTTGATGGTCCGGGCCAGAAACTATTCAACTATTCTTTCCGAGTTGTCAACATTGCCAGTCCACTACAGCAATGCTGGTATGGTACACCGGTACACCATATATTTCATGACTCATTGGTCTACCATTGATGACTTCTGGGGGTATTTCAATGTACTTCAAGTGTTTGACATCAACCATGTTGGTTCATCAGAGATAGCACCAATCCTGGTGATGCAACAGGCAGCAAGTCACCAGGACTGCGTTATGCATGTTTTCATCCTGGCCAGCGGCCAGGATTTGAGCAATCCATTCGTTGAAGCGTTTGTTCTCCTGGACGAGCAACTCAAATGCACGCTTTCAAGTGGTAAAGTTAAACTCCCGTGTCATATCATAAAAGACAGCAGTTAGAGTAGAGGACTGTATATGCACATGTGATGTGGGAAAGTCGTGTCTGGCACCAATCCGAAGGGAAAGCCGTTGGAACCAAGGCACGTGCAACAACTTTTGCCTTCCTTGCCCCAGCTGGTGGATTTGGTTCTCAGTGGTCATGTGAGACTGGGACCCTGCAGCCGCTCGGAGAGTATGGCTGAAACATTCTGCATGCTGCTGTTGAGAGGTCTACACTCTGACTCACTAACATGGAAGTGGAAAACCAATGAAAGCCACCTGTTTGTAGAGGAGAATCGTCTAACAGGGGTCCATGCCACTTTCACTTCCGAGACTTCGGAGGTCGGCGGTCCAAGCAGACCTGGGAGGTCCGTGTGGACGTTGAGCAAACACCACCCTGCTGAGAGCTCTCGCAGGGAAAGCATTCGGGTGTGCATTAAAACGGGGAAACTTCCCAGTTCAATCCCCTGGAAGAAGGAAAACAGACCAGTCTGCCCATTGTCATCAGTGCACAGGCCAAAACAGTTGTCGGCTGTACGGCTGAAAAAGATGTGGCCCCCAGGCAACCAGCAGGTCTTGGTTTACATGTCCCATTACTTTACATATTAGTTACAAGAGGTTTGTTTGCTGGCACCCTGCTCTTGGAGTCACAGCCTTTTTGACCCAATCTCGGATTGTCGTTGTTGGTTTACTTTCTTTTTGCTTGTGGGAGTCAAGTCGACAAGTGTGAAAAGTTGTGGCAGCCTTTCTCACAGAAGAACATGATGGGTTACATGTCATAATCTTATAACAACATTGGCGTCTACAAGTGATATGACGACTGGTCACTTCATTCAATTGGAGTCAAGTTGAGTAATTGTAGGCGTTGAGACTTTCTATTTGTTTGGTGATGAAGTAGAAGTTCCGGACGGCCATGGACAGGGCATGCCACAAACAACAAAAGAATAACACATCCCTGTCACATCCTTTGGTCGTTTTTGTGCTTTGCACTTTGGCAGCATTTGGCTCAATGCAGATGCTCGTGGAACCAGTGACTCGGATAGAGACCCCAGCCTTGAGTAGCCTGGTTTTATTGAGCATGTTTGTTTGCGTTTCTTTAGTTGACATGTCTTCTTTTCCTTTTGGGTATCCCGGCGCCCCCTTCCTCTTGAGCGATTCTCTTCGAGAACTTCTTCCGGGATCTTCCTCATTGGGTGGGAGAGCCACTCTTCTTGTTTTCCCCTTAGAACCCTGCTGCATTTTCGATCCCAGGTCGTGCTGGGGCCTCAGGCATATCAGCCAAAGCTGGCGTGGAAATCACCGATGCAGCGCAGTTCTGGCCGGAGGGTCGCATCTCAGCCGCCGGATCCTATCAAATCCGACCGACGCCCGGAACTGGAATGCAAGATGTTTGTTTGCTTTTGGAACCAAGTGACCAGTGACCAGGACTCCTCTCTCACTCTCTCTCTCTCTCTCTTAATAAATGTATGCACTGTACATATATTGCAAGTGTGTATATATTAATTATTAAGGGTTTCAAGTCCTGTTCATGATCTCCCCACCCAAAAGTCGGAAGAAAAAACATCCATCCCCAGACACACACTGACCTATGTGGACAACTCGTGCTTTGAACCTATGTGGGTCGTGGCTTTGGGGGGTGGGAACGTGACCCTCCCCTCCAAGAGTTGTTTAGGACACGAAGGGGTCGGAACTCTCATTTGGGGTCGGTTTCCCCTGGGATATGCCTGGATGATGGCTGTTTCGCCAGGGCTCCATCCTTTCCTTCTCCGCCATTGACCGTCTCCAGTGGGCCCATCGGTCCTAGCACTTCCATGCGCTTGACTCCACCGGCAGCGCCAGTTCCGGCAGCACCCCTGGCAGCACCAGCACTGCCCATGGCACCAGCACTCGCCATGTCAGCACCGCCCACGTCAGCACTGCCAGCACCACCCGGCAGCTTTGGCGTGACCCGGAGCAGCGGCCTGGGCCCGCCGATCCCCACGACCAGCGCCGGTAGTGTCCCAGCGGTGCCCTTGCCACCCTGGCCGGAATTCCGCTTCACGGCCGAGTCCCCGAAGGGAGTGCCCAAAGAGACCCGCCGGACGGCTGCAGGGGGAAGGGAACTGAGAGATATGGCTGCAGATGTGAGGAAGTTGTCCCAAGGACAAGAGCAACTCTGGCAAGAGTTTGAGCATCTAAAGCGAGAGGCTCAACATCAAAACCAGTATCTCTCTCAACTCAAGGCGGGGCCTGCAGGGTTCACACGATGTCATGTGTTTTCAGGTGTTTCTTTTGTCTTGAACATCACAATCCCGAACTTCCTGGGTGTCAATACCAAAAGAAGAGCACCACTGCCGAATGTTTGAGTTCCACGGACCCCCACAGAATTCAAAAGGTGGACTATAGCCGAGAAAAGACTCCTTTAAGCACTCAGCCTTGGGAGGTCGTCATATGTATTGAATTGTATGAAAGCTGCTTTCACGGCACAGCCGCTTAACCCTTTCCAGGGCCATCTTCGAGCGCCAGAGCGCCCGCAGTCGATCGAAGACCCACCCCTTCGTGCTCGAGCTCCCTGGGCCGCGTCGGCGAAGAGCGCGCCGAAACCGACGACGGACGCTGCGGACGGGGAGGCGGGCGCCGGGGAGGCGTCGCCGGAGCCGAAGAAAGGCTGGGATGACAGCTTTGCGGATTGCTTGCTGTGCGGCAAGTGAGGCGTTCCGTGGGGAGTAGATTGAGATATGTAGCATTATATGTAGATTATGATCGATGAGGCCGTGGGATGGAGAAGGAGGAAAGTGACGATCCAGTGATTCTTGGATGCTGTTGATTGAACTGATTGCTTCTTCAAGGTAGTTGGTGTGTGTGGGTGTTCCTCATCAGTCTCCAAGGCAAGCCTTTTGAGCCTCAGCAACAATGTGGGAGATGCTAGGGGCCGACATGCAATATGCTACTGGCCCCGATGCTCTTGTACGTTTCATATTGGTTTCTAAGAAAGCTCCTGTAATCTCAAAGGGTGCCCAAACAGTACTCTGAAAACCCCAAAGATGTTGAGAAAGGAACGATATGTACATGTTTTCTCCATTGGCAGACCACCTGGGTACTGTAAGAGGACCCTTTGATACTTCCTAAACATGCTTAAACAGCAAGGCAGTCAAGGCTGCGTTAGTTTACTCGCAGCTTTTTGCCAGCAATTCGGCTCTCTTGTAGCCGGGTGCATGTGATGGTTGCTAATGAAAAGGCGCCCAACACAGAGAGATAGACCCGCAAAACACAACCTCTCCAAGTTGACTTCAGTCAATCATCGGTGGGAGGACCTACTCGGACCCACTCGGACCTGCAGACAATGACCGTGATTGGTGTTTCAGCCAGAGCCTGTTGGAAGGGTGATGGGGCTGTTTGAAGGGCATCCACTTGCGTGAAGGGTTCAGGGAGTGTAGGTCGTTGATGAAAGAAGATGGAACAAAGAACATGAGCCTGGTGATGTAAAGCTATTCAGGGAGGGGAGTTGATGAATCAACAGTCTATGTTCAATTCCCCACACGTTGTTCCATCCAACCCGGAACTAACTGCAACAACTATGTTACTCTATACTGAGAGGTTTCTTTTTCCCAAACTGACCACCCCAAGGCCAGCGCTGAGTCTACACATCTCGGTGTGTCCAAGCATGTCCGGCCTACTAAGGCATTAGTTGCCTCAGCAGCCATACCAACCTGCGACGCTTGGGCTTGGCCAAGTGTGCTGCTTTGGACTGCGACGAGGCACTGGCCGTGTTCATGGCCTCCTCCTGGCGCAGCCTGGAGACTTAGCAGCAAAGGAGTTGGAGGGTGACCTGAAAGGGGACGGTGGGTGTATTTGAGTGACTAGTGTAATGTGATGGCAGATTTGGAAGGTCATGGATGCTGGATGCAGCCCAACGGTCACCTATAGAATCCTAATCGATGTGTTCAAATGTCACATCGCGGAGAGAAGAAGTGATGGCCGTTGACCTGAGTCTTTCTCAGGATGAGCAGACAGGGCAGGCCGGCGGAGTATTTGGGGGGGCACCCCTGTGTGTAATCCCATAGCTGTTAGCATGATAGGTGGGTCGAAGGGAGCAACCTTCTGGAAGACCTGTTTATTTTGTTGGTGTTCGGAGTCAGGGATCAGGGATGGAAGGTCCCAAAAATCCAGTGCCACCAGATTGCCAGCATTTGGGAGACCATGTTACATGGGTTTGGTCGTTCTGTTCTATCTCCAGGGGAACATAGGCGCCTCAATGCGCATCAATTCACCCCGTCATCGATTTGGCGTCCTACCCCGGTTCTGGACCTCGACACCCGCTCGGCAGCATCGACCACCAGCTCGCACCATCGGAGACGATGAATCCCCATCACCACCAGCTGGTATATGTCCCAAAAGGGATCTATCCACATGGCCCCACCATCCACCTGGTTCACGGAAGTGTCTTGAGTTCTTGAGTTATGTATGCTTCTACACTCTTATTCGGCCACTTGGGTATGTTCTCCCATCAGGCTCCCCGAAGTCATGGAAGTGGACCACCACCACCTGTTTGGCATTCAGCAAATCATCATCCGATTGTTCCAGGGATTGCAGGTTCTCCATCTCCACCCAGCAATCAAGGGATCAAGGCACTGTCAAGCCGCCAACACCGCCTGGGTGGTTCCTCACCCTCCCAGGAAGTCTTTGAAGCTCCAGGGCAGAAGCATTTCAAGCTGGATCAGCTCCAGAGAAGTTTTCCCCACCTCCAAGTCCTTGGTCTTGAGACTTGGCCCCTATTCAGCGGAGTCGAGGCGGAGGTCCTTTTGAAGTGGCTTCCATGGTGCCCTCGGTCCGGGTTCTCGAGATGGAAGAGTTCTGACCAGACTCTGGGAAGATTCCAGCGCGGAAAACGGTTCAAGCCCTTCCAAGACGGCTCCTTAGTGATCTGCCGGACTGTGGATGGGCCAAATCGATGTTAGATTTCAGTTGGGTGGCTGATGATCTGGGTGCTCCTAGGATTTCACGTTAGTTCCTCAAGCAGGACATTCCTTAGCTCGACCCCAGGCGCGACCGAACGATCTCTTCTGGCTGCGTTTCGATTCGATCTCCGCAGAACAAATCACACAGGTTTGGTGCTTGGGCACCCGTATTCAATGCTGAACAATTCGACATATATATATATATATATAATTATATATTATATGTTCCGATTTCCAAGAAGGGGTTCCAACATATCAAACATGATCAAACTTATGGTCCTTCTTTGGCAACAAAGGTTCGTATGTTCGTTTCACCCGTTGCCTCACGTTCCTGCGACCGACAGCATGTGCGTTCGCGGACGAACACGCGGCCACCATCGACCGGACACACAAACTGAAAGCGTCAAGCGTTGCGATCGCCTGTGGAATCGTGTTTCGCTGGGCTCGAGCTGATAAGAATGATTTGTGTGACCATGACCATCATTATATATGTTTAACAGGTAATAAAAATGGTATAGTACAACAACGTACAACCATTAAAAGCGAACGAGGAATGGTTTCATGTGTTTGTTTTTGGTTCGTTTTTAGACACTGCCCACCTGCTCATGGCGCCGTTGCCCGTCAATCAGCGCGACTACGAGCCCTTGGTCCTAGGTGCGGGCCTTGGTCGCTGTTGACCTCTCCAGAGCTGTTGACCTCTCCAAAGCTGAACCCCAGGGCAAGAGGAGATGTCATTATTGTTGTGCATGATTGTTTGAAATCATCATCATCATCATCATCATCATCATCATCATCATCATCATCAT